CTGTAATACTTTAAACAATAAAAATAAATTTAAACATAAAAAAAAAGAACTGTTAAAAAATAAAAGCTACTGGAGGAGGCTGAGGCACTGCAGCCAGCCCTCTTCTTGCTGGAGTGGACCCTTGACAGGCAGGAGAGACCCCAGAACAACAGACGTGCTCTCTGTGGAATGAGTAACCCTTACAGCAGCCATGAGATGGCGTCACCACCTCATGCTCCTGGTGTAACTGGCAATGCAGGGATCTGCTCAGGTCTGTCAGGTCCTGGGACCTCTAACCTCTATGTCCTTGTCTCCCCCATCCAGACTTTGTGAACGCCCTCTGGGCAGGGAGCAGTGCTGGGGAGCTCGTGCTCCTCCCTCCTCCAACAGCTTCCAGCCTACCCGACACTGGGCAGCTCCCTGCCAGCTGACCCTGATATGCAAAAATGACAGCCCACAGGCTCTATAAGGCAAAAACGGCACCATGATCCCAGGAGGCCACGAGGCTGACGAGACCAAACCTAGACTCACCCGGACGATGCGGATCCTGCTGTGGACAGTGTCCAAGGTGTTGTAGAAGGCCTGCACCACTGCCTGGAACTCCACGCTATTCTCAGCCAGACACTCCAGCCTGCCCAAGGGCCCCTTCAGCCTCTGCCGTGGCACTGACACATGGGAGAAAGAGGGTCTGGGCCATGCCGGGGGCACCAGTAAGTCCCTGAGAGCCTAGTCCACCCCACCCTCCCCCAGTCCCAGGTGCAAACTCACCGGTGGGGCTCGAAGCCTCCAGGAGAAAGGTCAAACTCTGATCCCGGGGACCAGCCAGCAGTGCTGCTAAGTGGCGGGCCGCGCGGGTGGGCTGGACCCCGAAGCCACGGAGGGCAGTGCAATCATTGTGAAGGGCAATACTCACACCATGGCACCGCTCCAGGCGGGCACGCAGCTCTGTGGGCAGCATGTGACCCCGAAGCCCCACTGTCTCCTCCCAGAGGTGCATCTCCAAGGCAGCCCCTAGCGCCCGGTCCAGCTCATCTATATCCTGCTCAAAAGCCGCATGTACCACCAGCTGGGCCTGGCCACCAGTTCCTTCTGCCTCCAGTGGGGTTGGCTCCAGCAGGGAGAGGGCCAGTGCTTGCTGCAGTGCAGCAGCCTCCTCCTGCTCAGCCACCTGGCCTTGCGGCTCTAGTGAGCGGTGGAGAGCCAGCTGCAGAGCCGCCTCCTCCTCTAGCCGCCCAGGTACCCCAGTGCTGGGAGCCATGGGCTCCTCCCCAGCCCTGGGTGCAGTCTCTTCCTCTGGCTGCTCCTCAGGTTCCTCCTCCCCCAGCTCCAGTGGCAGCCAGTCTTCCCCATCCAGGCCCTCCAGGGTGGCCAGTAGTTCCCGGACCTCCTCTGCGGACAGGGAGAGGCAATGGGTGAGGGGTCAATCCCAGCCAGGGTGGGGCTGAAAGATAGGATGAGTAAGGGAATAGGTGAAGATGGAGGGTTTAGGGGGTATGGGGTCACAAGACAGGTGGGAGTGCAGAGCACAGTGGAGGGTGAGGTTACGAAAGGGCCACAAGATGTGCTGGGTGTCCCCAGAGAGCCCTACCCAGGCTCAGGTTCTCCTGGTCACTGCCTGTACCATCTGGGGACTGGCAAGGGAGGACCTGGAGGGCCTCAGTGGGGTCCACCTGTCAGGAGAGAAAGTTAAGGTCCACTGGGCCCACACCCCTCCCAGGCCTCTGAGCAAGGGTGGAGGTGGCACCAGGCTGAGGTGTGAGAAAGGGGAGGGACAGGGACGGGCTCCAACTCTACCTTTGCAGGGTCTGTGTCCAGGGTGTCCCTGGCCAAGCGCTCTGTCCCAAAGATACACTGGAATTGAGCCTCCAGCTCCCGAAGAAGGTGCTGCCCCTTTGGGCCCAGCAGGAACCTGGCACTGCCTGGGTGCTTCAGGGTCAGCACGTGACAGCTAATGCTGCCTAGCAGACTTTGCAGAAACTCCTCAGCTGCTTGGCATGGGGCCAGGGCTCCGCAGAGCTGAAGGACCATCAGGCAGTGAGGGGGCAGCTTACAGGTTTAGGGCACAAGAAAGGTACACAGCAGTCCCAGTGGGAGAGGGGGCCAAAGGTCACTCACCCGAAAGCCCGTCATATCTGATCCTTCGAGTGGGAAAAGGGCAACATCTCCCAAGCCAGCAAGAAGGTCCTCATGATAGAGCTGTATGAAGCGCATGGCTCCTGGTTCCATTGACAGCACCATCTCCACCAGCCCCTCCTGCTCCAGTGACCACACAGTCCCCAGGCTCCCTGATCCCACTTGCTCTGGAGACCCCATGGCATTCTCCACTGAGCCCACCAGGCCTGGAGACTCTACAGGCCTTGAGCTAACCAGCTCTGCCTGCCCTGAAGACTCCAGGAGCCCCATGCTCTCTAGCCCCTCATGTCCCAAAGACCCCACAGGCCCTGAGCTGACTGGCCCAGCCTGTCCCAGAGACCCTATGGGATCTGTCCTTAGAGAGGCTCCTGATTGGCCTGGTGCCTCCTCAGAGCCCAAGGTCACAGTCCCTACACCCTTCAGTGCCTGCACTGGCTCTCCAGCCTCCAGGAGAGCATGCTCAGGGGCCCCAGGCCCCAACTCGGACAAATGGTCCCCTCCACTGGGGTCCGAAGCAAGCTCCTCCGGCTCCAGGAATTCATAGTGGGGGACCAGGCTCAGCTCCGAGCCCTGCAGCCGGTGGTCCTGCTGCAGCACCCTTTCAGCCGCTTGGAGGAAGAGAGGAGAGGAGGCCCGTTAGCGGTCTGAGGGATGAAAAAGGTGGGCCGGGTTTGTCCAGCCCCACTCACCCTGCCACTGCTGGAAGGAGACCACAGTGCCCAGGTGCCCTGGCAGGCTGCGCAGGTCCAGCAGGGGGCCCCCACCACTTCGGCGCTCGTTCTCCAGGTATAGCTCCAGCAGCAGAGGGTCCACAGGGGTAGTGCCCCCTACCACACGCACTGCTCGGGCCTGGGGCACCCGCGTCAGGGATACCTTGGCCCCCTCCAAGCCCAGGGCCCCAGCCTGCTCCTCCAACACGCGGACTTCTGTGGGGAAGGTGCAAATTGACTCAGTGCGTCTACCCTAACAGGCACACCTGCGCCCATCCCGCCTCTTACCTGCCTCAGAGAGGGGCTTAGGCAGCTGGACCAGGGCCCGGTCTGGTCGGGGACTGGCCAGGGCATGGCAGGGCTGCTCTGGGTGCCCCATGGAGTGCAGCAGGGCCTGGACGTGCTGCTCCAGGCGCTGGGGTGCAGTGCCAGGGGGCAGTCCTTGGAGCAGCAAGCGTGCAGGAGCACGCGGTGGGGCTGGCTGCAGGCTCAGCTGTGCACCGTGAAGCACATGCTCCTTCTGGGCTAAGACCCTTGCTGCGTCTGTGGGCAGGGGTGAGGTGGGGTGTCAGGGCCAGTGGCCCACTGTGTCCAGGCTGCCCGTTCCATCGGCCCCCTCACCTGCAGTCTCCCGAAAAGTGAGTATGCCTCCATGGCCAAGTCTCTGCCAGCTCAGCACAGGCCCCCCCCCAGAGCGTCGGTGGTTCTCAAAGTAGAGTGTGAGCAGCTCATCTGGGATGTTGGGGGGCAGCCCACTGAGCTCCACTGCCGCCGCCCCCACCTCCTCTGCCTCTGCCATCACAACCCTGGGGCGGAGACCAGTGAGTAGAGTAGTTTCCCCACAATCCAACCCCACCCCT